AACTTTCCAACATACTTGGGATGCTGCCAATGCTTAGAAATTGAGGACAAGCGTATCATAGTCATTTGTAGGAATAGAGAGGGCATTATTCAATTTCTCACTTACTTAAACAAAACTTAATGTTTTTACTAATGTTGGCTTTCAGTTATAACTTGAGGGAAGAAGCCATCCCATTGGCTGTTAGGGGACAGTGATTTATAGTTTGCAAAATTTTCTAGAAATACTTAAGAAACTATGTTCATGTCAAAGCTTTGCAGTTGATCTGAACCTAAAATCGCAGTTTAGTTTTTTAGTGAATAGCTGTAGGCCGCAACCAATCAGATAACCAAGAACATTTTAAGTCAGGGGCCAAAGGAATCTTATAAAACACTAAATAATCACAAACAGGCTAAAAGACATTCAAAACAACCACTCAGACATTCGGGCTTACCACAAACAAACAGAAGCTGTCCAAGAAGAGACAAACATAACGCAGAGACTAAAGCACTACGCAAAGATGAAACACAGATGCAAGCAGATGCAGATCAAATCTAAGCAAATGACACACAACAAAGCTATAGAGAACTTAATGTGAAGCTAAACATCTGCAGGATTCACAGCTAAAGTGTTTTTCTTGTAGATTTGCTGCCTTTTACATATCTTTGTTGGAGACCCGATGTTTCTGTCTGATAGCTGGTTTATTTTTTTCACATTGCTGTAATTGTTGTCTCCTCAGAATGAGTTCTGGAAAACATACAACGGTAAGCAATTTCCCATGTTAAAAGTAGCTGGAATAAAATGGTTTTTTAGCGCAGCACCACATACATCTTGAAGACCAATTTTACGTCCACCTTCAGAAACTCCAGCAAGTCAACTTGTGAATTGTGTTTAGATTTAATACATTTAACGTAAAATATAAACTATAATGTCGATTTTAAGAGCAGCTTTCCCAAATAGAGATCATCAATAACACCATGTAATATGATACAGTCATGTTAAATCATTGTGTTCTGTGTTGTCTTATAGTACCAAACCCCTGTATTTCCAATCCCTGTCAGAATGGAGGCAGTTGCTCCACTCATGCTTCATCCTACATCTGCTTTTGTCTGCCAGAGTTCCATGGAGTCACCTGTGAGCTTGGTGAGCAAAGAATATGATCGTTTTCACATCACTTGGCTGCTGTAATGTGAAGTATTTTCTATTTAAATTAGCTTAGCTAGCAGTTTCCCTTCATTAAAATTAAACTATAAACGTCACTCAGTTAATAACAGCAAAACATGTTTATGTTTTCAGAAGGGAATTTTATTTTGTTAGACAGAAAAAGAAACACTCAATTATAAAGGCACAAAATCTCATAAACTCAGCAAACTAAAATTACATTCACAATTCATGATGGTGAAAAACTGTGATTATTTAAATTATTAGTATTATTATAAAGTTATATGTAAAAATAATATTTTTACAATATTATTTATAATTATAATTATAAATAAAAATTATAATTTATAATATTTTACTTAATCATATGCTGAATAAAATTAAAGTATATGACTTACAAAATTGTCATCAAACAATAGTCAAAGTGTTTGGCTTATTTTTAAGCTATATATAATATTTAACATGTACTTTATCAAAATTAATTATTCCTCCTGCCAGTTTATGAAAAACTACTTGAAAAGTAATTGAAATAACTGTTATTTGCTTTTTGTATAATTTAATTTCTTTTTACTTTTTTGTGATTAAATGAACAAATTACATAATTTAATTATGAACATTTCTTTAGAGGTGAAAGCTGAGATCGATACCTGCTGGGTGGAGAACGGAGAATGTGAGCACTTCTGTGAAGAAGACGAGTTCCAAAAAAAACAGAACTGCTCGTGTGCAGACGGCTACTTTCTCCATGTTGATGGACGGAGTTGCATAGCAAAAGGTTGGACCGTGATTTGTAAAGAACAAAATGTGAAAAATATTTTGTAGATTCTCAACACAATTGTTTTCATATTTGCAATAACAAAGCTTATGACAGTTTTCTTTAAAAACCCATATTTGCTATGAAAGACAAAAACATAGGTTAGAATATGTAAAAACATTTAGATGCTGGTAATGGTAATTATTCTGTCTTAGTTTATCCATCACACCAATATTTTACATAACTGTGTGTATATGATTCTTTAAATGTTAATTTTTTTAATTAAGGAAAATAATCATTTGATTCTAGTAAACAATCAGAGGATTGAAGAATTAAAGAATTTCAATCACTTTTTAACATTTTTCAGGGCTGCAGAAAATATATGTGTGTGTGTGTGTGTGTGTGTGTGTGTGTGTGTGTGTGTGTGTGTGT